TGGTAGCGTGATATTGGTTTTTTACGTACATGCGATTTTACGATTTTAGGATGCTATTTTTTTAGAATGCAGATATTTTATTTTTTTGTACAGTTATATTGTTTATTATTAATTTTTTCTTTTTTTTAGATTTTTTTTTTTAGAAGAAAGTTTTAGATCGCAAGTTGTTCGCGTTTTTTTAATTTTGCGAAATCGATCGAAATTAAATTTTTCTAATGGAAAAAAATTTTTTCTCTGTTTCAGATTACTGTAACCACAATCGGATACGGTGATACCGTCCCACAAACGTGGATGGGAAAAATAGTCGCCTCGTGTTTCAGCGTATTCGCTATATCCTTTTTCGCACTTCCAGCCGTAAGTTATATATATATTTTTTATCAAATGTAGAAATTTTAAAAATTTTATATTTATTTGTTTCCCAATGAAAAGAATAAACGAATCAAAGATTTCGTAATATTAAATACGAAACATGAATAATTTCGAATTTCATCTGAATGTACAAATATTTGATGTGCAATATATATATTGTATTTATTTGTTGTATATACATTTAAATATTTGTATATGTACGAAATAAATAATATGCTTCAAAGATATTTTGTACAGCAAACATAAAAATATTTGACCATGCAAATACCGGATATTTGTTCAACGTACATTTAATACAAGAATGAGAAAGATAAAGACATTCTTTATCTTAATTTATCGATCGTATAACAAAACATTTTCTTTTTCTATCCTATTATTTACAAGAAAAACGCCGGCATAAATAATAATATTAAATGTATACCCTTCTCTTTTTTATTATATATATATATATCGACTAATATTAATATAAAATCATCCACATGTGCAATAGTCACATTTACCTTTTATATTTACCCGTATATTTTATTATATGCTTATAAATAACTTATTTTACACAAAATAAATAAAACGTTTCAGAATTTATCTCTTGGTCACGAAGCTTGGATATCTATTAATTTTAAATAAACTTAAATAAAAAAATTAACCAATATAATATTGTACAAAATATCCACGAATTTCCAGGGAATATTGGGCTCCGGTTTCGCGTTGAAGGTGCAGCAAAAGCAACGGCAGAAACACTTCAATAGGCAGATACCTGCCGCGGCAATGTTGATACAATGCCTGTGGAGGTGTTACGCCGCCGACAAAGCCATCAACAGCGTGGCCACGTGGAACATTTACATCAAGGATCCGGCACCGACCGGACAACCCTCCACACCATTGGGAAAGGTAAGGTTTTTCTTGCCTAAATGTTTCTTTTCCTCTTTCCGCCCGAGTTCAGTGGCAGTAGCTACTATATAGCCGTTGATTGTTGTTGTTTCTAGCTGCTTTTTTTTTTTACGATGTTCCTCGGCCGTTTTAAATCAAAATCGATCATTTTTGACAATATATATTCTTTGCGCCGGGTTTCTTCTTCTCGTTTTTCTTGACGATGGAACGTTTATATATATATATATATATAGGATATGTCGAGATTGGAGGACTGTTTGGTGTTTTTTTTCGTTGAACAGATTATCATGGTGAATGTTACTGTAAAAACTTTTTTAACTTTGGATATTTCTTTCTTTTTCTTGTGGAATTAATTCTTGATTGTTATGGATAGGATGAGGTTGTATAGAAGAAAACGTGTGTCTTGATGATCTTTTGATGCTTAAAGTGTTGTTTGATTAGAGGTGTGAGAGAATTTGGAAGGTAAATTTATGGACATCCATGTTTAGCTTTTTTTTAGTTAAAGGTTTTTCAATTTGGTTTGGATCAAAATTAGAAAGTGAAAGAGAAAATTTAGAATAGAGATATTAAGTATTTAAATCAGATTTGAATTGGATTTTGATTTTTAAATTACATTCACAATCAATGAAGTGTGACTTCTTTTTATTTAAATAATTTTAAGAATGAAATGATATTGTACTTGTATCAAATAAAAGTTATTTTTATAATATTTGTTTAGTTGGTATCTTTAGAGAGAGTTATTTTTATAATCATTTTCCTGTATGTATAAAAAATCAAAGATAAAATGCTCTATCAGATAAACATATATTATCAAAATTGAAATTTGAGTATTATTATTTTAAAAATAATTATTTTTTAAATTTTCAATTCTAAAAAATCAACAATTTTACAGTAACATTTATACTATTAATCTGTTTCAACAATAGGAAAATCATCGAGTTTATTCCAGTCTTTGTATTTTGAACGTATCTCGGAATAGAAAGCTCATTTGTGATTTTTCTGTCGTACGTGAAAATCGTGTTTGTCTCGTTTGATCTCGGTAAATTGGATTAAATTTTAAAATTTACTTAATAATTTTAATTCGTTTTTCCGTGTAAAACGAACTATTTAAACTTTTTCCCATCTCAGTTTACTCTTTAGGGGATTATAAATTACCGAGATTGTTCGAGTCAGTACATAAAAGGTGCTTTTAAAATGGCGTTGGAAATTTTATAGAAGAATTATTCCATTTTAAATGCAATCTCTATTAAATTTCCCGTATCAAATATATTTTTAAATTTTCCATGATATCTTGAAATTATCTAAGAAATTTCCAGTTATGTTTCCTCATTTTTGGAACACCTTGTATAATAATGATATAATATAATGATATTCAAAAGCAAAAACGATTCACAGATGTCGAAATACAATAATTTCTTCAAAAAGATAAAACTATTCACGACGCCATTTTAAAGACAAGAATCTGCTTGTATCGAAGTTCTTTGAATTTAAATTTAGCAGATTAAATTTAGAAGATAGATTATTTCAACTGAAGCTACTTGTCGATAGAAATCGAAGAAATTTATTTAAAAAGAATTATTAAAAGAAAAAGTTCGTACGAAATCCTGTATACCATTACTAATCACAGGACTTCGATCTATCCCTCGTGATGCAGACAAATAATTTGGCAGTGGATGAATGTAAGCCAGTGTTTTCCAACATAGGGAAATTAAAAATTAAAAATATTTAAAATTACATGCTCTCTCTTCAAATACAGTATTTTTTTACTCATAACCTCGAAACATATAAGAAAACTAAAAGTTTGGAAATTTCTTTCGCGACACATTTGTTGGAAAAGATAAAGATCCAATTAACCTAACCTCAATCTTTCCAACTTCGAAGCTAGAGGGCGCGTGCAGTTTCAAATATATTTCAATATATCTTGAATCATAATGAAACGTTTAATCAAAATATTCAACTTGCTTTCGTTTGAAGTTTGTTAGTCATTATGAGAGATAAAAAGCTGAAAAAAAAAAGGTTGGAAAACATTGATTGTAAGCAGAGAATGTGAATTCTGTTCTGTGTTTTCAATGTGCCGCTCTAATATCCGAAATATAATTAAAACTTGAGTATTGCTAGTGATTATTCGTGGTGTTGATGCAGTTTCGAATTATGCTTGGAAGCTTTTTGTATTATTACGTATTATTAACGTTTTTTTTTTTTTTCTTCTTTTCTTCTTTCGTGTCGCGGCACGAAACGAAGATTTCTTCGCTTTTCTATTCGTTTTCTCAGTTGCGTTTTTTTAGATTTCCATTATTGATTTCCAACATCGAGGATCGTTTGTCTCTTAACTTCCGTTTCGTTTCGACGAATTTTCGAACCGCGATGCAATTTGCGGTGTAATCGAATTAGGGATGGTGTTTTGACTAGGGAAGTAAGAGAAAAAAAAATGGTTTCCATGTGGAAATTTTTTTTGCGGAAAATCAACTTTTTGAATAATTCATACAATAATTTAATCAATTAATGAGAGAAATTTTTTTTTTAATTTTGTATGTAGTTTTTTTTATTTAGAATCCCGTAAAATATTTATTTTTATTCTATTTGAAATTTTTAATTATGGGAAATATTTTTTTTCGGAATCTTAAAAATATATTATGGATTTTTCGAATTATTTTGAATTTTTGAGATATGGCATTATGGTAATTTTAAAAAGCAATATTTCAGAAGAATTGTTATTACTAAAATATAAAATTTTCTTTATTCCTTGAAAATTAATTCGGATAATAATATCAAAGTTATGATGTTTCTTTTCTTAATTTTTTTCAAATTTTTTATAGGGAAAAAAAAATATCAAAGATTAAATATTTTTTCTTTTTCGTTTAGAAAAATTCTACTTTTTCTATCGAAAAAAAAAATTCTCTCGTTCGATTACACTGCGAATGAAAATCCTGCAATTTTTTTCAGTATCGAATATATTCAAGTGAATGCTTAGTTAAGTTTATTTTAAATTTTTCTCTTCAGTAGTGTATCATATGACGCTTCATCAGAAAGTTAAACGCATCGATTAAATCATTTTTATTTTTCCACGATATTTGAACATTCTTTCGCAGAAACTTGCTTTCAAACAACTTCGATTATATACTTGTTATGCAAATCGCTTCTCGCATCCTTTCTATTTAAAAAAAAAAAAAAAAAAAAAAAAATTAAAAAAACAAAATATTCGTTCGAATCAAATGATCGACATGACTCGACAATCGAAATTTATTATCATACTTGTGTTTAAATAATAAACTGAAAAAACGAATATTGTTACATACAAATATTGTATAATAAAAAATATTTCTCTCTCGCAATGCATTCGTATTTCAATTATTTCTTTCGATGTTTCTTCTATATCCATTTTGCAAAAAATGCATCGCGATTCTTCTTCTTTTCCAACATTTCATCGATTTAGTGCAATTTAATTATTTTTTTTGCTTGGAAAAAATTTCATTCGCCGATATTTTTGCGAATTATTCTATCTTTTTTCTTTTCTTTTCTTTTTTTTTTTTGCCGATCTGCTAATCGAACGTAATGCCCGAAAGAAA